GAAATGGAAGTAAGCTCAACAAAGTTGAAGCTGCCGTCCAGACCGGCCGAGACGAGAAATCCTTTTGGGCGAGAGGGCGTCTGACAAAATTCTTTAAAGAACCATAACCAGCTTGGGTCGTTTAAAGTTATGAAAGACTGCTGGTTGTACCTTCCAACACGATTGCACTGAACTTCACTTGGCCTACATTCCAAAAGCCTGGATCCCCAGCCCGGCTGGGGACTAGGTTCGACCGGACAACAGTCTCGACCTCATCTGAACTGGACTAATTCACGCCCCTAACGGGACTCGAACAAGAGTAGTGCCGCGTTCATGCTGTACATTCCAGAGAATAAACGTGATTTTTGCCATCTTATGCGGCCTAGGTTGCCTACAGATCTTAGCCAAAAGCTATGGCAGTTTGGAAGCTTAATTGATAGCAAAATCTGTCATACTCTTGAGTATGAAATGTTTTCCCTCTGTCTCGTTTAACGTGACGAAAGACTGATAGTTGAATTTTCTCACATTCAGATGAGTAAGTCCCATGCTTCCATCTAAATTCAGCTCGCTTTACTTCCCAAAGTGTGTTTACATCCCGACTGAAATGGAATGTAGATCCGGCCTCACTTCAACTGGTCTTTTCAACGCCCCAGCGCGCGCACACGCACATACAAACATACATATACATAAATATATACATAATCACACACAGAGATACACACAAAGATATATACTCAACAAGAAAACGAAGAGTCATACCAAAAGCCTGAAGATGTGACGTCGGAGGAGGTGAGTGGGCCGGACGGTCGGGCAAGTTGTGCTGTGGAAGGTGGTGTTCCGCGGCGAGGGTCCAGGCCGTCTGGGCTTGTGCAGATGTGACTGCAAGGCCGGAAGGGGGCGGGCAACCAGGGCAGTCTGAAGACGCGTCCTGGGGAGTGGAGTTGGTATGAAAGTGCATGTGGCCGGTAGCATTCGCCATGACGTCCGGCAGATGCCCAACATGTGCCGGGCCGACTGATGTGCTTATCGGTCTCCAGGGCGCCTGACGTTGGTGGTGCTGCGGCTGACGCTGCTTCTGCTGCAGATGATGCTGATGCGAATGACGGCAGGCGTGATGCAGATTATGCGAATGGTGGTGCTGGTGTTGGTGCTGGCGGTGGGGGGGCAACTTCAATGGAGAGTATCTTTGACTCGGAGAATTCGAGTGGCCTCGAGAGCTCCGGTGGCC